TCTGCTTATTCACGAGTTCAGCAGACATTTTCACATTGTTAATGAAGCGGGTTTTCTAATCAGGTACCAAACTACCATTAATATTTATTTTCCCAATGTCTCAGCTATCACAAGAGCGATTAGTACAATTACCGATGGAGGCGCTGCAAGACGCAAACAAATGTGAAGGAGAACGAGTAACATTTGGTAAGCAAGCGAAATGTGAGTGTCCAGTTTATATTGAGATTGGTGCGAATCTAATGATCGTGTTAGGAACACTGCTCATAATACAAACTACCGCGTTGACACCCATGCGAGAATGCAGACAGAAGTATAATTTTGCAATACTTTCATGGTCGGTTCATGGAAATAGTGGTCAAGTTGTCGTTACAAACATGTATGAGGTTAAAGAGAATGTGGATGAGCGAGGCCTTTCAGAAGTTTGGACACATGGAACATGGACAGGCTTAAAAGAAGATACATCAGGAGCTCTTGTACATCAGAGCATTGTGGTTTGTGACAGTGCAAGGGTGTTCAAATACTTGACCGGAAGAAGGGCTGGGCGTAGGGGAATTTTTATGAGTGCAAGGTGGAAGTGGTGTAGTGGATGTGGAGTATTGGGAAAGCCCGTTAAATAGAGGGAGCCTAATAATAATACCAGATGCTTTGAATGTAATCGTCCCTTCTCTTTAACTAGACTGTCTGGTTGCAGCTCATAAAGATTGAAATATTATATTGAACTTAAAGGATTCGATTGTTATGCTCAAATCATATGAATGTTTTAATAATATTTTCCTGATATTTTAACCTTTACTTTTAAGCGAATAACATCAAAAGCTATTAATTACTCACTTACAGGCGTCAAGTTACACGTTTCAATTCGTTCAATACTCTGTATTTGTCTCAAAGTTTACCAAAACAATGTAATTTGTACAAAACAAATCACAATATCAAATGTAGAAAACCATATGTTACTCGTTACTGATGCAATAACTGTTGCAACTAGTCTAGTCTGTATTTGATGCTAAAGCACATGTTTTGTTTAATATCCACTTTCCTGTCTCTTCTTCAGCCTATGTCAGTCTGCTGCATGTAGGCCTCCTTCAGCTTTCCATGCATTCTTGTCTTGGGCAAGTTGAAACCAAGACCTCCCTACTTTGTTCTTAATGCCGTCGAACCATCGCTTTTGTCGTCTTCCGACACTTTTCTTTATCACCCTCGGTCACCAGTGCAATATTTTATATGTCCATCGGTCAGATTTTGAGTGCAGCTCATTCCGGTACCTGGTTTTTGCCTTCATTCCCTTTTCCGGACTCTTACCGGAGAAGAAAAAGGTCCTCAGAACACCACCAGGTCAGTTCCAAACAGTCCATCACGGATCATCGAGTAGTGCAATTCGCACTATAAATTATAAATTTTAAATGTAAATTAAAAATGTATTTGTATTTACTTTTTGTCTTCAATTGCTATTGTCGTTGTTTTTCCATCATTTTGCACTAGTGCATCATTTACTTTGAATTTGCGCGTATTGAGTTTAAATAAAGCGACTTAAACTTTACAACAGCCTCTGTAGTCTGTATTGTTGTCTTCTTTAATTTCATTTGGATAGCTTCTTGATTGCGATACTCATTTAATTCACGTAGTATATTCTCCAGTTCAGTAACGTTTGTTCTTATGGCAGGTATAGTTCTGCGACCTGTTGAGTCTGCGAATCTCAGGTGATTTAGATAGGAACGTGGACCTTGATATCCACATAGTGTCTTAAATTGGGAAACTCAAACTTCGGCTTCTTCTGCTTCACCACCCACGGTAGCCGACTAGCTGGTGAACAGTGTTCCATCCTCATCCATTGCCGGTTTCGTATAAGTATTCATGTGGTCGCATTGTTTGTGTTGGTCAAATAAAGTGGACACAATGTTAATGTATGAATAAAAGTATATTAATAAATGATAAAGAACAACACGGTACAAAAGTAGATTTCCGAACACGAAAACGATTCTGTATCAGCAGCAATTTGACGACGACTAACTAAAAAGGTTGCTCTCGCGATGAACAAAAATTATGCTGCCTAAGCAATGTGGCTTTGTGGTACACTGTGGTCCATAATATATAAGGTTGAACTTATATTGATAATATTAAAAGCATTTTGATTATAGTCTTATTCTAACATTCCCTCTTAATCTACATGCTATTTAATATAAATCAATTTAATCAAACATTAAACACAATTTTCTGCAAAGGTTTAATTCTTTTATGGTGTTTATAGCCTTTTGCCACAAGGTGGATGATCCTTTGACATTGGAAATGATTCCATTTCTTGCTTCATTGCTTCTGTCCATTCTTCATTTTCGTTTGACTGGATTGCTGTTTGGTATGAGTCTGGAGTTAAAATCGAGCAATATACGGCTGGTCCATAGTAATCAGGTCGCTTTAAAAGGTTTCCTTGACGTAGTTGTATCCTGTCGTCTTCTTCGTTATTTTCATTTTTGGTCTCTGGATCGGGATCATTTTCTTCGTCATTGATTTCAGGAACCACATTTTCATCAAGTTGGTAATGGAGAGGAAAATTCAAAACGTTTTTCTGTTCTTCATTGATTCCTTCAAACTCTTCTTCGTTAAAGTTTACATCACAGCTCATGATTATTCTTCTTTTATTTTTGTCTCATAATCGATAATTATTTGACAATGCATCATATCCCACAAACAATAACTTGTTGCTTTTTCGGTCCCACTTTTTGCGTAGCTGAGTTGGTATCGCCATGTAAGCTGCACATCCAAATACTCTCAAGTGCTTTGTTTCAGGTTTTCTCTCTAGAAATGCTTCAAAAGCTGTAATTGTCTTTGTCTGATTCAATGTTGTTCTATTCAGTATATACACGGCAGTATTTACCGCTTCAGACCATAATTCTGTAGAAACATTTCCATTCAACATCATGGAGCGTGCCGATTCAACTATTGTTCTTATTTCCCTTTCCGAAGAACCGTTTTGTTGAGGTGAGTAGGGTGCCGGTCTCTCATACAATATTCCATCTGCTTGTGGATATTTTTGAAAATTTTCATTGATATATTCAGTCCCATTATCACTCTTAAAATCTTTAATTTTATTGGCAGTTTGATTTTCGATCAACGCTTTATATTCTTTAAAGCGCGCAAACACTTCGCTCTTCTGTTTCAGAAAATAAACATTTCTGTATCCAGTACACTCATCCTTGAAAATTACAAAGAAACGTGATCCACTCGGTGAGTCAACGCTCATTGGACCACATACATCAGAATGTATTTTATCATCAGGTTTCTCTGCTTTAATCTTCGTGACTTTTTTATGTGATTTTCGGGTTTGTTTTCCATATTGGCAGGCTTCACAGAAAACTTCATCTTGATCAGCAAGTTCCAAATCACATACAGCGTTGTGTTTGTTTGCGTCTTTTATCGTCTTGAAATTAATAGGTCCTAAACGGTCATGCCATAATTTCAACGAATTGGTTTTTGTTAGATTGCAATTATTTGGTGTTTCCTTTTAGAAGCAAATACCATAAGTTATCTTTTCTTTTTCCTATGCATGAAATGTTGCAAGCTTCATCAAGAAATCTGCATTCACTCTGATTTGCTTGATGAGTGAATTTCTTGTCAGTCATGGCTCCTACCGAAAAAAGGCTTCGTTTAACATCAGGAACATAAAGTACATTGGTCATCAGTCTGACATGCCACTTGTTATTCACTTGATCTTGTAGACTAAATGTACCTTTAGCTGTTGCTTCGATAACCTTGTCGTTGGCTATTTTCAGTAGTACTGGCGCATCTAATTTTTCAAGTTTTGAAAAATATTTCAGTTGATTGGTCATGTGCATGCTTGCACCTGAATCGCAAATCCATTCTTGCGCATCACT